GTTCCACTTAAGAACATTATGGGGGCAGGTGGTCTCAGCGTTAAGGCCATCCTCACCGTGGGCGCTGAGTCGGTCTCCACATGCACGTCAAGCGCGGACTTGAAGAAACCGACCGAGGGTGCCCCGTTAGGACATATCAGCTGGATGCGACAGGCGATGGACCGAGGCATTGTTGATGGCGTGCATTGGCGACCGCGGGCGGCCGTGCAAAAGGGCGCATCGATCGCGCGTTGCCGCTGCAAGTGATGGAAGAGACTCAATCCTGCAAGCGCGAGGGAAAGTCACGTGCCTCATGGAGGCAAGACAGATGCATCACCAATATAGGGGCGCCCTGTCCAGGGCCAGCGGGCACCTATAGGGGCGACCACTCGAGCGCGACTGGACACGGGCATGCATGCCCGCTGAATAGTCGTCTTCGTCTGGACAGGCGTAAACATTAAGGCGTCGCCGCTGCCATGGGCGCCCGGGCGCGGGCGTTAACCCTCGTCCTTCAAGGGGGGTCCCACAGCTTGGCCATGTCCCCTCGACCGCCGCGCGCTTTCTACGGCTGGCATTTGGCCAGTCGCCCCCCTCTTATAATCGTCCGCGGATGGTCGCGCGGCGTGCCCGCGACCGCCCCTAATCATGCGTGGCTGGTCGTGGTAATAGGCCGTGGCCAGCCTTGATGCGACGCGCTGTCATTCCTGCGCATGCCTCGGCACGGCTGGCGACGCTGAGTATTTCTACATATAACGCCGCGCCAGGCCCGGGGGCCCCGGGGCCGCAGCCCCGGCCGCAAATCGGGGGGCGTCGAGCCCAGCCCGCTCCCCGGCGGGCCCAAGGTCGGCCCCCGGGGCGCCCGGGCGGCCGTCCAGGCGGCCCCGGGCCGCCCAGAGCCACCCTCACGACAACCTCCAGCGGTTTCCGGCGGCTCCAGAGGCGTCTCGAACCGCCCCAGACGCTTCCGCGACGCTCGAAGACCCCTCCAAGAGATCCCCCCAGACGGCCCCGGGAAGCAAGCATAGCCCCGCTCCCGTCGCAAAACGTAGATTTTAACCATATTCGATTCTTTGGCCTTCGCACCGTTCTTTACGACTTCAGACTTTCCGCAGGCCGCCCCAAGACGGCCCACGAAGCCCACGAGAGCACCCCAAGACGGCCCCCGATGGGGCCCAGGGCAGTCCAAGAGGCGCCCAGGACGGCCCACGCGCGTCCCCGAAGGGCCCCACGAGGGGCCCAAGACGGGAAACCCAACTGAACCTTCCAGCCCCCCCGCCCCAGGAGGCCACCAAGAGGCCCCTAAGAGACCCCCAAGAGGCCCAAAGAGGCCCCCAAGACGCCCGCGGCAGGCCCCCAAAGGCCTCCAGAGGCCCCCCAAGAGGCTTCCAAGAGGCCCCCCGAGGTTCCCAGGAAGCCCCCAGGAGACCCCCAAGAGGGCCCCAACGGGCTTCTCCGAGGCTTCCCCGGAAACCTTCATGCGCGTCTACATGCGGCCTCCGGTCCAAAAACCTGAGACCGTTCCTGGGACGCCGCCTGATTGGCACAGGTTTTCTTTGTCTCTGTCAATGGGTGGCGCGGCAGCGACCCTTGTCTCTGGGGCCGACTTTTCCGCGCCCTGTGGGGCAGGATCCGTTGAAGGTGTGCGCCGCTTTATGCGGGAGGACGCTATGCGAATCCTTCCCGCGGTGCCGTACGTGGAACTCTCATTGGGCACGTTCCGTGTGAAGGGTGTCGCGACCTGGGTGGAGGCCGCCACGCGAACTTTGACTCTGGCACCGTACGTGAACATCCCAGGGGGCCAAGACCCGTGTCAGCGGCGTTCCGTTATTGCCAGGGTGACGCTATGTGAATTCTGCGTTTCCCTCAGGCCATCGGTAGCGCTCCCTGGGGGACACTTCCCGTGTGAAGACTGCGCCCAACTGGGTTGGTGGACCTTCTGCGATCCCGCATGCCCCCTTGCCCTTCCTCCCCCCATCCTCCCTCCACCGACACCCGCTCCTCCATCCTCCCTCCCATTCGCTTGTGATACAGAGCCGACGGCACTTGCGCACCCCAGCCAGGGTTCCCCGCGATATTTGTCAGTGTTGCCCGTCCCTGGGACCTCGGAGTTCCCGTGGTGGCCCAGAACTGTTCGCCGCCCTCCTTCTCCAGGCTCCATTCACCAAGCCCCGCCGCCGTGAGAGACGGCGGCCGCGGCGGTGGAGGCGACGGCGGCGACGGCAATGGCGACGCGAACGGCCCGAGAGTCAGTTCAAGATGCTGTGGGCCGTCTGAAGACCGACACCGGACAGCACGAAGACTCCGTGCCCGCGCTAGAACCTAAGCGCGCGCGAAGCGCGCGTGGTTCAATTATATATATATATATAATCCCTCTGTCCTTTTTCATTTTATACCATTAACCAGAACAATGATCTAGCTTGCGGCCCTTCTTTTCCCGAATGTAATCGAGGTTTCACGAGGGGCACGATAGCGAGCGCTGTATCCGACGCTGTCCCGGCTCAAGGCATTGCTGTCTCCTGTG